CCTGGCTTCCCAGTTCGCCAATCAATCACTAAGCCCTCCGTTCCTGGCTGTGCGGCATGGCTTCGGTTTGATCTCTCTTTCGTTCGCCACAACGGACGCAACACAAGTCGAGAATATGAATCAGCGCTCGAAGGCATCTGGAGGCTCAAGGCGTCCATAGCTGAGAGCGTTTTTGTGGTGGGAGCCATGTCATCGTTTGCTTTGCGTTGGCTCACCAAGGAACCTTAATACGAACCGCCATCACACGAGACGTCAGCAACAACCACGGATAACCTTAATAACCCAACGAGCGTACCGGTATGGATACAACACCCATCTCGCAGTATCCGACGCCTACCATGTACCTGGTACTTCCAAGGACCACCACGGACAAGGCAGTCCCATTCCGTACCCTACTTCAATAAGCGTTGGACACTGCCAAAGTTCAGACGCCAGGTGGAACAAGCCAAAGGGAACCTCCATGAACGCAGCATGAACGTCCAATTTCAGGTCTCGACAAACGCCCTGCCGTAGGGCTCTTGACTCCGTCAGACGTCTTAATCTATCCGGCGCCCATTGTCGTTTGAAGCTGTCGGCTTGGGACCGTTCGAACCAATGTGACTGCCACGACTACCCATGTCCTGTGATGGGAACCCAGAAACACGCCTGGCCGGTTGCCCGGTGCTGGGCTCTTCTGGGCTGGGCATGGGTCAGCGACGTCCTCGCCCAAACAGGTCCGGCAGACCCACGCTGGTGCAAAAGTGCAGGAATAGAAACCCGCTACCTGCGGCACCATAACAATTCCTTGGGCGAGCGCCTGTCAATCTGATCCGACTACGCGCAGGATAACGTCGACATGGCCTGCGGAGGGCCAATGTGTTTCCTCCGCGACGAGCTCGGGATCAGACACTGCTCAGACTGGGCTTCCTGGCAACGGCCGTTTGTATGATGAATTGCATGGAATCAAACGACCTTGGTCGCCTCAGTTACTACAAGCCAGATGCAATGGCAGCAGTATGGAGGTCGTCAGCTTACTGAGTGGCTCGAGATAGGATTGGACCCCTGCAAAGAAACAGACGCCGCCAGCTTTCAATTCTAACTTTCGGCTGTGTGTTGAAAAAATATGACAAGAATCTTGCTTCCTTTTCTATCTGGTTCAAGCGAGCGACCGGTAACCGTCGAGGCTTCTAATATGTGCGTAATAATAACGACATGAGTAGTCCAGCGAACTCGAATCACCAAATGTTGCCCACCAGGATGCCATTATCCGTAACTTCAAGTCGAACCCGGTAGTACATACCGCACATTGGCATTGTATCACGCCGACCTACCTCTCTCACGTTCGAACTATTTCGTGGCCTCTACTTCCACCCAAAGCACTCGTCATGCCGGGGTGAATGCCCCCTCCCTCGACGACTGAGGACTCCAGCGGTATTTTCCCTTCAGAGGCCAGATTGACCCGGGATGTTGAAAAGAATCATGCCGGATGGGTATACGTAGGTACTCGGGAAATACGTGCCTCACTCCCCGCCTCATTGCCAACTTCGGCTCCAGATGTCGTAGTACACTCAATAGACTTGTACACTGCAGGACAATCCTAGCCCCCGACTCCTGCTGCCCCCCTAACAGCAAGATTCGGGACCTTCTTCGCAATCGGCCAGGTCGGGAGGGTTGGTCCTGCTCTAGGCCATGGAAATCTTACTGTCTACTTGGCTCGGTTATTTGACCAGATAGGCTGAGGACTACTCCAGCGCCGTGTGAGTTTGGGGTCAAGCCAACCGGAGCCCGAACTGTGAGACATATGGGTGGCACAATTTCCGCCAAATAGGTTCACTCCATCCGATGATGGCAGATCTACTGAAGGCTACATACAGGAACTAACGTTGGTAGATACGGTCTAGGAGGGAGACCAATGCAGAGGAGAACCCTTCGAGCTGGCCCAGATACACGGGGTCTAGAGTTCGTGCAAGACCGGCCACTGTCCTGTGCGTCTCGGGCCTTTTCATGGGCAGACAAGCGGATCAGCCGACTCTCAGAACGAGCCGTGCTGCTTCCGCACCGTGAAGCAAGACCACATTGAACCCCTAACCGAACCAGACCTATTGAAAAGGATCTGGTTAATGATCCGAGGATGTCCTCCCAACCTACAAGAAGGGATTCTCGATTATCGCCTCCCGAGCAATACGCATCGCGAACATGAAGGTTGCCCGAGGTAAAGAATGGAATCTCATGCTAGCTGGATCCTTTCGTTGTCGCTAGCACATCCTCCGCTCCGGCGCTCGATTCGGGCCCTGATCGTCCAGATCATCTATCCCCTGCACTGGGACCCTGAAATGGTGTCTCCTCACTATCGATGCTCCATTCCCGCCAACCAGGTGTCTCGAAGCAGCCGTAACGGTTCATGATCCGGATCAATCTGCTCAGCAGAATTCCTTTGGAAGTATATTCCAGTTGGTGGGTTGAGTCGAAACCCCGGCGGCATATCGGTTTACCCCGCCTCCTAGCATATGGGATTCGCTCTCTCGTGCTTGGTCCATGCAAGTTATTACCTCATTCTACTACAGTGCACGATTGGGCTTGTTGCGCTTTGTGGAGAGGGGGACGCATCAACGACGACGACGACCGAACCAAACCATCCACCATGGCCAGCACCTCACATCGTCTTTGCACACTCGCGTCCTCACACTTGTGGCGGGTCTGCATGTCGGGATGGTACAGTGTGGCCACCAAAAAAGAATTTGCGGAAGGTCGTCGAGAAACCCCCGACCTCGTCAATTTGGTGTGGGCGCTCCAGCCCATCCTGCACACCAGAGTCTTCCGCTGGGAACTTTTGCCAAATGGGAGCTGAGTCGGGCGTCCCGTCGACCTCATTTTACCGCGTAACAAACTTTCCATATTTGCTGAAGGAGGTTGATGTTCGTGATGCGCATGGCGGAGGAGCTCTTCAACGCATCTCCCAGATCACCTCGAAACATACCCGCCGCTCCCCACTGCCCTTCAACGACCCCGTTGCATCTGCTGCCCATCCCGTTCGTGTCGATCCGGGAGCAGCCAGCCACCGGCCACCGAGTAAAGCGGGTTGGCGGGCTGCCCCTCCTCGCCTTTAGCAAGAAGCGTGCGTGGTGCGTGGAATGCCACTTTGGGCTTTAGCGCACGTCTTCCTCTTTTTCGCCTTCCTTGGCTCGCGCGAGCCCAGCAGACGACGAGGAACCGCCAGCCGCTTCTGGCGTCAGATGGGAAGGTTCACATTGTCGGAGTACGTACCCTCATGGCAAGGTACCTGACAGGAACCTGAACGACTGGACTGCTTATACTGGGTGCCTGACAGCCTTCAAAGCCACTTCCAGTGTTACCCCAACTCCCAACTCGGACGATGTGGAGATCACGGAACCAGACGGAGATGCGGCAGGTGTTTTTTTACGGACACTGCCTCGTTCACGACAGCTCGGCTTGCAGGCGGGCTTTTTGACTCAATGGCCGATGGTGCCGGATGATTGCTGGTTCATTAGATTCTGCGTCCTTCCCCGAGAGCCACGAATGCCGGTCGCTCTTCAATTTGCCCAGAGACCGGTTCATGGTTGAAACCAAGTGGATGGGGGATGGAAGTGGGCACGGGAACGGTCGATCCCCTTTCTGCAACTTTGTGTAGTACTGCGAAAGAGAGCAGCAGCAGCAACAGCAACAGCAGCAGCAACCGCAGGTAGTCCCTCGGCTGGTTGGAGGGGGATCCCTTTTTGCTGTTACCCAAATGTCGGATCACTTAAAGTGATATGGAGACTGCCAATCCGTATATTTGCTATAAAATAAAGGGGGACGAAAACTTGAGACGAAGAAGCATGGGCCCTGTTTCGTCTGAGTTGTACGACAGGTCGGACAACTGACAATGGCAAGCTGCTCTCTCTCTCTCTCTCTCTCTCTCTCTTTCGTCTCTGCAAAGGCCGAGTCGAGTTCTGTATGCGACCTTTTTCCCAAACACCCTAGAACCCGGGCAGACGTAGAGACATGTCACAACCGCCAAACACGATGTGGAATCTCTTTCCCGTCGTCCCTATCCAGCCCAGCCTCGGCCATGGGCCAGACCGGCAGCTGATTTGGGACGAATTGTATGAGCTTGGCTGGTGCCGTTAGAGGAATTCGTCTGAAACGGCACGTTGACTGCGATTCCCTTACCAGAGAAGGGGCCGTTTGCCGCCCGCGCGCCCGCGGGCTTCAGGAGCCGAGGATGATTGAGGGACGAAGTTTCTCCTGATGATTGGTACGAGATATTGGGGATACGATGGATCTTTTGAAAGACAGGCGGTTGTTGTCATTTCTCGTAAGCCTACGAGACTCCGTGACTGGGCTTTTCTGTGAACAACCCTGTTTGCCTTTGACGGATGATACAACATGAGGACGTAAAGTCACGGCGGAAGCTGTCGTGTCATGAAAGAATGGCGCTTTGCCGTGCGCATCGCATACCAGCCACTCTGTTATGCCCTGGCGTTCGAGGTCATTGATAGATATCCTCCGAGACGGCCGTCGTTCTGCCGATGTTCCAACTGCGATACGCGTCCTCCTGCCCGGGGCTGTAGATTTACGGTTGATGGTGATGGAAAGGCTACCCAGATGCAACATAAATAATATTTTCGCAGGAGCCAAGCAGTCTAATAAGAATTGAATCGTATTGGCGAGCAACGGGGCTAAAACGCCGCCCAGTAAAAGCTCAAAGTAGGTCTAAGTGCCAAACGCAGCGCTCGTTTCGACCTCTCTTCCAGACTCGCCATTTCCCCTCCCATCTCCGTCACCCGACAGTAAGGAAATCCCACACACGCCTTTTTGCACAAGTTCGTATCTCCCATTATCCCATATCAGGCCAGCCGGTAGTTGGCCCTCCCCCCTCCGTATGTTTTATGTCCTGTACGTCATATCTGCGACTTGCGACGCGTCGTTTCGGAAATAGGGATCGCAAGTCTTTAGACAGTGGTGGTCGGTTGGTCGTTGTTCTTCCAGCTTGTTGTTTCGCTGCTTTGCTAATTGGCTGCCTATTGGGTCTTGAAAAGGAGAATCGCGCAGTGGCCGAGGTAGAAGTAGATAAAGTGCTTAGTTTCTGTGTCGATGATGTTAGTTTCTACCTAAGACCACGGATAAAGCTATGAGCCCAGAGGATGGACCAAAATGTAGACTCTAGACAAACATACCATGGGTCACAAAGCTGCCAAAGTTGCGACCGACAATGCAGTGCCATGTAGGGCCCTTGCGCTCGTCGAACTACATCCACGATGTGTCAGCAGCTGATTGCCATCAAGAAGACGGAAAAGTGGCAGGTTAGACTAACGGTTCGCTTGATGTGCTGGGCGATATCCTGTGAGTCGCCAGTGTCAGTATACAGCGTCCGGATTCAATATGAAGCATGTCGAAAAAGCGCACCTTCTCGATGGTGAACTTGGCCATGGCCTCCTGGGCTGTGGAGGGGTCGTCAGTACACGGTGGGGTCAAGCGGAGGGGCTTCCCAAGTAGCGACATTACGTACCGACTTCAATGGACTCCTGCTGCATGTCGTCGGTCTGAAACTGCCTGTCAGCATGCTGGGCTTAAAGCGCTCAGTGCCTCGGGGATCCTCACCATGTCAGCGCTCTTGACCTGAGCTAGAACCCGAATCAGGTCAGCACTTGTCGTTGTACAATCAGGACAGCAGACTGCTTTGGTGTCGCAACAGACCTTCCAACTTCTCCCGGGGGGCAGGCGAGGTGCTCTTTGCGTCGGCCATTACGATACTTGTTGATATTGGAGGTTTAGCTGTTGTTTGCGCCTTCTTGTCAGCGTCGATACGGGGTGACGAATTCGTTTGCGCAGCAGGCCTTGGGCAAGCAGCCCCTTTTTCCTCCGTCTCGTCCGCCGCTGAGCCTTCGATCGCTAAAGTAAACTCACTTTTCGTGGAATGGGGATCTAATGGAACGGTCAGCTAATTATCGCAGGGCTAGAATGCGCTCACTTACATCAAAAGGTTTCAACCAAGGAATTGGCTTGCTTCGAGAGGTTCTTCGATGTGCGTTTGTCGCGTGTTTTGAGGAAGCCTGACAAAGTGCCCGCGCCAGGAAAGGGTTCCATTCGGTCGAGTCTGGTTAGGTTGCCATAGCCGCACGGGCCATAGCTCCTTCCGGGGTGGCATGCTACGTGCGGCACTCACGCGCTAACGTTGACATAGAAGGCGGGGCTGGTCACATGGTGATAACGATAACGATGGGGCGGAAGAAAAAAAAAAACCTTCAAGGCAAAGTGCAGTTTCCTTCTTGAATGTCAACAAATCCTTCAACATCCTTCTTCTCTGTCTCTTCCACACGACAGCATGGCCCTGCGTTTATAGCCGCCACAACCCTCTCGGAGCATTTGAGCTCACAATCTTTCCTTCTTACTATTGCAAACGTCTTTTGTTTTTTTGTTCTGAGATACCCCTTTCGCAATGGCTGCTCCTACTACCGCCCCTACTACAACAATGGAGACCTCCCGTATCTTCGTCAGGGGGCTTCCACCCAAGATTACTGAGGCCGACTTCCGACATCACTTTTCGGCTGGAGGTCGTGAGGTGACGGATGTGAAGGTTATTCCCCAAAGAAGGATTGGTTATGTCGGGTACAAGACACCAGAGGTTGCTGCCAAGGCAGTCAAGTACTTCAACAGATCCTTTATCCGCATGTCGAGGATCAATGTCGAGCTCGCAAGGCCGGTATGTCGCGACTCTGCTAAGAAAAGAAACGAGTTTCATATGCTTATGCTTATACCCCTATTCCAGATCACTGATCCCACCCTCCAACACGCAAAGGGTGTTGCTGGGCAGGTGTTTGTGGCAACACCATCAGGCTCAGCCACTCAAGCGCTACCAAGTATCGAGGAGAAGGATGCAAAGAAGAAGCGCAAGCGGGAGGACTTGGATGAGTCAGATCCCAAACTGCGCGAATTTTTGCAAGTCATGGGCCCTAGCAAGAATGCTGCAAATGAGATGTCAGATGTCATGGACCCTGTTGCTGTCAAAGAGCAGAAGAAGTTGCTCCAAGACGGCGAGAGTGACGATGAGTATGAGGCTATCCCGTCTCGGCCTGAGAAACGGCAGATGAGGGAGACACCAAAGGGAGAGCAGCGTTCGGCGCCCACGCCAGAAAAGGATGAGGCGATGTCTGACGCTGCTCCTGTTCCTGGGTCCACGGAAAATGTGTTCCAGGAGCAGGCTCCCGCTGCTCCCACCGACGCGGCCACGACGGACGATGATTGGCTTCGTTCGAGGACGAACCGTTTGTTGGATCTAGTGGATGACGACGAGGTGCTCCAACCTCCAGTTCAACAGAACAGTGGAGAGACAGCCGGAAGTGTATCCATGGAACAACAAAAGCAGCCCGCAAAGGCTCCGGAGCTACCCAAGGGCGAGACCAAGGGTGGGGCTGCCGTAGAGGACGCCCCAGGTCCTTCTGAGAAGGTCGAGGAGAACGACACTTTTGCCACCATCAAGCGGAACGCTAGACTGTTTGTGCGAAACCTGCCCTTCGGTGCCAACGAAGAGGACCTGCGGACGCACTTTGGACAGTACGGAGAACTCCAAGAGGTAAGCAGAGCTTTTATTTTGTTTCACGCCACTCGATGCCACACAATCATGTGATGAATCCAGATAGGGACAGCTTACATCAAATGATGGTTGATGCGAACCTTGGATCGGTATTTTAGTAGATGCTTCGACTTTCTGAAAGATGATTACCTTCTCAGCTACACATATGGACCTTATGGCTGGACTCAGATTGCTAATCTCTCCCCCGTTAGGTACATTTGCCAGTTACTGCTGGAGGCGCAAGCAAGGGCTTCGCCATGGTACAGTTCACGAGTGGAGAGTCAGCTGTTGTTGCATTCCAGTCGACGGATGGTCAGACCTTCCAAGGGCGACTTTTGCACGTCTTGCCTGCTGAGGGAAAGCGTGATGCCGGGCTGGACGAGTTCGCAATCTCAAAGCTGCCCTTGAAAAAGCAGAACCTGATCCGCAAGAAGGCGGAGGCTGCCTCTAGCACGTTCAACTGGAATTCTCTCTACATGAACCAAGACGCAGTCAACGCCTCCGTGGCGAGCCGCTTGGGTGTGTCTAAATCGGAACTTTTGGACCCCACGTCGGCGGATGCTGGCGTCAAACAGGCCATCGCCGAGACGTCGATCATCCAGGAGACTAAGGCATACTTTGTGTCGAACGGTGTGGATCTCGATGCCTTCAAGTCACAAAAGCGGGGCGACACGACCATTCTAGTCAAGAATTTCCCGTTCGGGACCACGATGGAGGAGCTGAGAACCATGTTTGAGGAGCACGGCACCGTCCTGAGAGTATTGATGCCACCCAGTGGTACCATTGCCATTGTCGAGTTCGCTCAGCCAGCACATGCAAAGGCGGCGTTCGCCAAGCTCGCATACAGACGTATCAAGGACACTGTACTGTTTCTCGAAAAGGGCCCTAAGGATCTTTTCAAGAATGATGCCTCCGTAGACATGACGCAGGGCAAGGAGGATCGGCCCACCGGTGTCCAGAAGCTCAGTGTCACGGAGCTTTTGGGACGGGATGAGCAGGGTGAGACTGACATTGAGACTACGTCCTTGTTTGTCAGAAACCTCAACTTCTCCACGACCACGGAAAAGTTGGCAGAGACATTTACACCGTTGGACGGCTTCGTCTCCGCCAGAGTGAAGACTAAGATGGACCCCAAGAAGCCCGGACAAGTACTGAGTATGGGCTTCGGCTTCGTCATCTTCAAGACCAAGGAACAGGCACAGGCGGCTCTCAAGGCCATGGATGGGTTCGTGCTCGAAGGTCACACCCTTGCCGTTAAAGCTTCGCACAAGGGCCAGGATGCCGCAGAAGAACGTCGGCGGGAGGACAAGGCCCGCAAGACAGCGGGGCAACGGACGAAAATTGTTATCAAAAACTTGCCCTTCGAAGCGACTAAGAAGGACATCCGCACCCTTTTCGGCACTTACGGCCAGCTTAGGGCGGTGCGCCTGCCCAAGAAATTTGGCAATTCGACAAGAGGTTTCGCTTTCGCCGAGTTTGTCACCCCTCGGGAGGCGGAGAACGCGCTCAACGCGTTGCGAGACACCCATTTGCTGGGCCGCAGGCTGGTTCTCGACTACGCAGAGGCCGAGGCCGTCGACGCGGAGGAGGAGATTGCCAAGATGCAGCGCAAGATTGGTGGACAAGTTAACAAGGTCGCCATCTCGCAACTCATGGGCCAGAACAGGAAGAGAGTCAACATTGGAGGCGACAACGCCGACGAGATGGATATGTGAAAGGAGGGATCGAGGCACATCAACAAGCCGGAGAGGAGAACATAGAACCAAATCCAATACGTGCCTCTGTAATGGCACCATTGTGCGGTACCAATTCCCTATACAGCTACACTATCGTCGCGTCATTCTCGAGTACTTCCTGCAAATGACATGACAGTAATAAGGTACCAGTTGAAAAGTTTGCTCTGCCCATCCCATCTTTGCCCTCCGTTGGATGTCACTTTCTCTAGCTCTAACCAACTCTAGTGGCTATGCGTCCCATCCGTAATTCTGTATGCAAATCTGTCTCGCTCATCCCTTGCCCCGCGATTCGGGTCCCTACCCACCCCTTGTCACCCTTCCGATCAATTTTCACCCCTACCAGCGCACCTCCTGCAAAAAATAAACCGTCCTACTATTGGAGGCGCCTTTCCCCCATGGCATAGCACGCGACGGCGAGGACGGGAGCCAAGGAGGTTTTGTTAAACGGTCGGTGGGGTTGCAGAGGGCGAGTGCAACTCACTACGGTACGTGCTACTCGGCTTTGCCACGCGCACCAGACCACCTTATGGCAATAGCCTCACCTACCCGGGGATCTTCTTTATCATGGCTGGGTCATGAAAGAGATCGAGGGCGAAGACACGGGGGAAGTACAGGGACACGAGAGAGTGTCTTTCTGTCCGTCGTCCGCCCTTTTTTCACCGTCTGACTGGTCCAGCTGGCTTTCATTTACACATCCGTCGCTCATCGCCTCCTTGACCCGCAAAGCAGGAATGCGCATATTCCCTTCCTCGGTGCTTGTCTCTTTCTAATCTGAGAAACATGCCAGCGTCGCTATGGACTATTCCGTGGTGTGTCTAACCTTATCTTTTATTTATGTCTTTCTCACTCGTTGCTATTGTGGTAAAGCCTTGTTGACAAGGGAGGTCTAAAGATTACTAAGCGAGTATCCTTGAAGACGATCGAAAACTACCCATCTTCATTCTCCTCCCAGCCTCATCTCTCTCCAGAAAAATAGGATAGAAAGAGAAAGCCGTTAATTGGACATGTTTGAATGAGCGGTGGTGGTGGTGCTGATGGGTTAGAGTGGTACGTGCAGATCCAAGAAAACGCATCTTGCCCAAATTGGCACCCATGAAGGCAAACGTTCCTTGGACCAACCCCCTTGCATGCCAGCGCCCTCAAATCGTCCACCCGTCCAGCTTGTATAGTTTCCACGATTCTAGCCATGTGGAGATGGCCCTTGTCAGACTGACAGACGTTCATGCACACGCTTAGCAGTTGCAGGGCGAAAGGGAAAGCCCAACCAGCCCATCTTGGCCCATTAGTATTGGCTAACACCTGCCTCGAGGGTTCATTCCTTCGGGCTGCCAAGTCATGTCAGTCAGACTTGAGTCTCGCGACATCGTTGGATCTGCCAATACAATCACCCTCCTCCCTATCAACCCATGAACCACGCCCACCCGTCCTCCGAAGCTTCTCACCACTTCTTGCTCTCTGTCTCTCCTTCGCTGGCTCGCTGGTGCTTCCCTTGGCCCCCAAGCCAGCTCCTCTCGGATCCTCGATCCGACTTAGCTCGCCGGAGCTTCTTGTTTCTACACTTCTCTACGTGCCTTTATCGTCCTGGGGTTACTTCTCTCTCTGTCTCTGCGGGCCCCGCCATCCCTTTGCTCACCCGGGACCCCATTTCCATTTCAGCAGCTCTGGCGAAAAGTGAGGTCTACCCTCAACCCCGCTCAGAGGGTCTAGTCCGCAGGCGTCTCTAAATCTAGAGCCTCGAACGGGGCCCTACGGAAGCACATGCTCTGGTTCTAACTGTCCCAAAGAGGACAGGGCTGGGAGATGTTGACAAACGTACCCGGGGAATGAACGAGGAGGACGATGAAGCAGAGGGCTACGAAGGGGGCGTGTGTTGCTGTCGATCTGGAACCCGGGGTGCCGAACCAAACGGATAGCCTCTCCTAAGCTCACCAACAGGTCGTCTCATTGCTCTCTTCCTCTCTCGGCAAGCGACGGACGATGTGCGTGTGCCTGTCAACCGACCTCGTTCGTTCCCTCGCCCCCTCTCTTTCAGACCTTGAAGCGGGTGTACCTGACTTCAGGAACTTATATTGACGTACGTCCCATGCCAGTTCCATTCCTTTCAGCCTCTCCAAGCCTTTCTCTTCATCATCCAACATCTTTACTTTCCTTTTGCTTGATAGCACAAGTAAAGCAGAACAGAGGCACTTCCGAAGCAATTACCGGAGCTGCGGAATTCAAACCCACGCTCCTTTTCACTTTTCTCGTTCATCCCAATCAGAGAACACCATCCTGACACTCGCTTTACCATCATTACTCCCCATTCCAGTCCTTCTCGAGAGGAGATTTGCCACGAGGAATATCTAACCCCGGAGCATATCACGCGGGAGATCAAGCACTTTTGCAGTCCCTTCACTTAGCAACAAAACCCTTGCCCGCCCCGTCACGGAATTCCTGAAGAGTCATTCCTTTCACCTATCTTTTTGCCTCCCAACTTTCCTTTCATTCTTTCACTCAGGGGTTCCGTGCTTGTCAAGGAATCCGTTTACAATCCAGTCGAATCCTCTCCCGTGGGGAAAAGGAAGAAGACGAAGAACGGAACAAGTTTTACGCATCAACCAAACCCCATACCATCACATTCTGAAAGGAATCCCCAGAAACACAAGATATCAACGCTATAAACGCACAAATGGAGCACCCGCGCCCAATGCTCCCGTCTCAGCGCTACTCGCCCTCCCCCGTTTACAGCTACGATAGTAGACGATGTACGCCGACGGGGAGGCAACCCTTGAAGGAGTCGACCGGCAATGTCCAGTCTGCCGGCTCCCACCTGGGCAGCCTCGCATCATCCTGCCGCAATAGCCCCTTGGGTCTTTTCTCTCCCAGCTTGACCAGCATACCAACACCACCCATTGTGCCGTCCCAAGCTGGGACTGGCTATAGAAGCAGCAGCAGCCTGCGAAGACCAGATGCCCTCCACATGGCAAGACGGGCACGACCTGATATCAACCCTATCTACTATGCTCCCGAGTTTCGACCCTACCGGGACAAGCAGGATCAGAAAGACCCCAATGAGAAACAGATCTGGCCTCGCGTTTTGGAAGATGCCTTTCTCGACTGTAAGATCCCCCGCCCTGAGCAGCGCGACATCCCTTGCTGATGTGATCCCTAGCTCTGCTCATCATCCCTCACATGGGAAGGAAGAAGTATAGCATGCAGGGAAAGCAGTTTGGGCGTAACATGCTCATCAGCGAGTACCTCTGGATTGCATACTGTTGCAGCTTGCAACCTGGACAGAAAGCAGAGGAGAGGAAGAGGAAGCAGGTATCGAGTCACATCCAAGTAGTCAAGAAGATGTTTGAGAAGCATCGATGCTGTAAGCTGGACGTTGATTCCTACACTTACATCAGCGACTAACGTTACTCCAGACCACTTCTTCTTCGTCAAGGACCCCGACAAAAGTGAGGCCCGGCTCAAGGACAACATGGAGATCGCCTCCTTCAAGGACAACCCGGTCCTGATCGCCCTTGCTGAGGGTCGTCTTCCGGATGTTCGTCCCAATTATGAGTACTTTGCCCAGATCTTAGCCATGGACTCACTCGTCGTCATGAGACCCAAGACAGCCTGGATCTTCGTAGCCTCCAACAACGTAAGAATGGACGAGGACGGGGAGGCTTACGACCACCATGGCAAGCCCCTTGACAAGAATTACTACCCTCACTTGGAGAAGAACATGCACAAGGAAGATAGCACCTCCAGAGGCCTCAATGGCAGCGTCCTCTTGCATGAGTATAACAAGGAGATCTCTCAGAAGGAATCTGCTGCCGTCACCGAACTGGCCCAAGAATGGCAGGCCAAGTTCCCACCTCTCCATAAGTCGCTTGAACACGCCATCCACGACAACAAGTGGCTCGACATCTTGGAGATGACTGTTACACTGGAAATTCACCCTCGTAGCAACTTCCCCGCCGGTTCGGAGCTCAACGGCTTCGTCGAGCTGAGCATTTCTCTGCCCGCACTCCAGAACCACCGCTGGAAGTGCGTCACGAAGCTGGCGCGTCCGGAGGAGCTCCGCCGTGCTGAAAGTGACGCCTTCGTTGTCGAGCAGACGAGCGAGGTGGGCGTTCAGTACATCCACCGACCCGGATGCCAGGAGAGCAAGTTCGAGTGTGACTGTCGCAGCCGTCCCAGGCAGGACGTTCGAGTACCCTTCCCCGCGGCCGAGTGGGCCAGCATCCTCAGCATATGTGCTGGCTACCTCGATCCTGTTGAGAACAAGTCTAAGATAGAGGACGACGACGAGAGGGCCAAGGTCGCGGAAGACGCCGCGCTCGAAGCCGAGCGAACCACGGCCGAATTGATCCAGCAGGTCGGCATGTTCCAGGAGCTATGGTCTGCCCCGCCCGACAACTCGGACCGCCGGGTGTGGACGCGCCGCGGTATCATCCTTTGGAAGTTCCGCACGATCCACGCGTTTGACGACAAGTGGAATCCTATCTTCGAGAAGCCGGTGCCGCAAAAGGGCAGAAAGCCTACCGATGAGGATGGCGAAGAGCAGGGCACTTCGTCCCGACGCGGAGGTCGGTCGAAGCGGGTTTTCAACCCCGCCGGCACGACCTGGCGATTCCTGACGGCCCTGGATCCCGTTTCTTCAGCTCATCAGCAGGAGGTGTGCATCAACCCTGCGGCTGCTCCGGGCCGTGATATGCTCATGGCCCCAACACCTCCCTACTCTCATCACCTCGCTGCCGTTATGAACGATAATCTGAGCTCGGCCTGGGAGTCCGTCTCCATGCCTGGCCAGCTGCCTAGCCTCGCATCTACCGGAACACTTGGGATGATGGACAACTTCTCACATGGGCTGGCAACGCCTCCCCCAACGGCATCAATTCACTCATCGTATGCGAGCAGCTACGATGGTAGCCACGAGCTGGCGAGCGGGCCGCACCACCATCACCCTCAACTCGACTTCCTTGCCGGAGCCTGCACTAGCTCCATGGACAACCAGAGCACTCTGGTTACCGACATGGGCTCAGCCCCGGCCGATCCTTTTCTGTCGGCAACAGCGGGCATTCAAGTGTCAAACGGTGTCGGCGTCGGCGTGTATGATGAAGGGGAGGTCGAGGGGATCTCCGATTGGGATACTGCGACGTCGTCCTTCCATAGCCTCAACCACTGGAACGGCTGGAACGAGTCGTCGGACGCAAAGACACAGCAATGGCAAAATGAGAACCAGCGCAGCGCCGCCGCCAACGCCAACATCTGGACCGAGGGCAAGGACCATCAGACGTGGAACCAGCAGCCGTGGGCCCAAGCCGTCTCGGTAGTGGCTGCCGCCGCCGGCACGGACGGCAGATCCGGCTGGTCACCTGTCGACCAACAGCGCGGGTTACCCTCGCTGGACCAGATCAGCCCACTCAAGTCCATGGCCGGAAGGAAGCGGGCCCGATCCAACAGCCTCGACATGGAGAACCGGGAGAACTATCCCGCCACAGCAATCCAGAAGCTGGTGCACCATCGCGTGCCGGCGGCTGTGATGGACGAGGGCGGCCACGGACATCGGAATTGGGAATGAAACATTCACAAGGCGGTTGATGGACGGAAGAATATGTAACCTGCCTTGGGAGGTGTATTTATTACTCGTCTAGAACTCTGGGTGCGCACACCTGCATTCAACGGGCATGCGAGTAAGGAAAGAAGGGTGGTGCGTTGCGGAGTTTGTCTGGACTTGGTGGGATGACTGACGGCCGACTCATGTGTGAAACGCTTCAAAAAAGGGTCTCTTGGAGGAGGACTTGGGAAAGGAAAAATATTGTGATTTGATATACTACTGGAAGGAAACAGCACCCTTTGATACCATAATCCTGTCATGTTAAGTTTGTGTGGGGTGAAGTTGCGAAGCTCAAGGGAAAAAATAGAAAACAAATTTTGCTTCGGTTTCCACACCACGGTTACATTGGTCCGACAAGACGTGGTGTTTCTCCTGTCACCAATCACGCCCACAGCGTGGGTTTGGACGAGCTAGTGGTCCAGAGGGGCCTCGCTGCAGGATGAGATGAAACACTCAGAAAGGAGACTACGGAGGGTGGGAGTGCCTTTTCATGTGTTCGCACTCGGGATTTCCCCGGGTGGGAATGATATCTCATCAGCGTTTGAGGTGATGGAAGCTTAAACATGAGATGATCCTCTACATGCCAAGACTTGTGTTTTGTGATTCACACCACCACGGCTGCCAAAAGTGGTTCTCTGTTTCTTCGCTCCGCATGGTCGCGGCGGCTGTCCGACCGATGAATTCGAATGTGGACTCGTCGTCGTCGTCGTCGTCGTCGTGGCGCCCGGACGTATAACGGTGTTGGTCCATCTATTATTACTGGAACCGCTAGCGAATGGGACGTGGAGTTGCGCGTTTCATTGGAAGCAAGAGAATGAGATGCGGAGCAGCAAGTGGCTAAAGAGCAGTGGAGAGCACGTGGATACATCTTGCTCTGTGCGATGTGAGCGCTCCAAGGAAAAGAAAAACAGGACGATCCAGTGGGCAAGCGGAGGATGTTCACAGGGTTTCTTTTCTCAAATTGGGACGGACGAGGGTTGCGGGTGGTGGTCTGAACAACGTGGACGGCAGCCGCAGGTGAAACGCTGCATGTCTGAACGTTGCTGACCGAGGAGTGTGTTATCGCGAACGGTGGCGAATGTAAAGTAAGGGACTGGGCAGTTGGGCATCCGCCCAACAGCCCGATGAACCAAGCAACCATCGGTGGATGGGAGAGGGGAAGCTGCTATAACCTGTCGATTGCGTGTTGTGAAGCTCGCGGCGATGAAGCAAGCGCCGTCGATTTGGGTCTCAGCCATGGTAGGGTATGAAGCCTTTCCCAAATCGCTGGTGCCGAGGCGGACATTAGCGAGCAGGGGAGGAGGGGCAAAAACGGAACTCCAGGATACGCACAGACGATGAGACAAGGACGATTTGCGAATTCCCACGAGCGAAGGGAATCCAATTGTAGATTTGCCAGGGTATTGCTTGATAACCGATGTATTTAGGGCATTAGGCTCGGAGGCGTAGGCGACACTGAAGAGCATGCATGGTCCAAGTTAGGTGCCGTGGCCCGTGTTTCGCGTCGGGTTGCATTTCGCTCTTCTAGACGCCGTTCAGACGTCCAAGCTTACATTTCCCTGGTGGCCTGGTGGGTTACGGACATTTCACGTGCCCAGACTTCGGTCCGTCTGGGTTGACCGGTATTGACCAGGATTCTCATGTCGGTGGCCGTCGCCGTAGCTCGTTTAGATCTCTGGTGTAGTGTAGGATTCGGGGATTTGAGTAGGTCGGTGCTCCGGCAGGGGGATAGAATCTTGTATATCCGTGACTCTGTCCGCGGCAAAGGAGACTGGGATTCTTGGCTCAAGGAGTGCGTCAGCGAAGCATTTGCGGTTCCGATTTGGCATGAAGGAGGTCTGCCATGGAACACTGGTCGGTATGGGTATTTAGTCGCCTGGACGGAGGTAGCAATTTGGCATTCTCTTCCCTGTTCAGTCCACTCCGTCGACAATCTGGCGGTTGTCGTCTGCGCCAGCGGCAGCCAATCGAGTAGATTACCAGACCCTTGTTTCTAGGCGGCGCGGCAAAGCAGAACAGGACATCAATGAGGCTGAGTCGGTCAGACAGCGACGTTCGTGGACGCGCGAAACAAGCCGCGAAGAGAAGAAAGTGGACGACGGGAATGGCGTCGGCGCGTCGATGGTGGAACGAGCAGAAATGCAAGGCGTGGACGCGGTGCCAATTTTGGCAGGCGCCGCCAACGTGCAGAGCGCTCGCTGCCAGTCAAAGTGGTGGAAGACCCTTGCGTCTGGAGCTCGCCTAACCCGGGCAGGGGCCGCATAGACATGGTCGACTGGATGAGGTGCATCGACTGCCTCGCGACTCTTGGAGGGAGCGCGAGCCCCTTGTTCCAGATTTTGCTGTGAAGCATGGGGGCCAAAGTCTCTCGACCATACGTTTTAGCCTAGAGGTGTACATGTTTCGGCGCTCGCTGCCCATCCCTGGATACACAGGCCAGGACAGGACAGGAGAGGACAGGACAGGCACAGCAGGGACCATGGCGCCTACCGCACCTGCCCCAAGATCGGTGCAACGCCACGAGGGTCGGAACCTCGCAGCGGCGTGACAGCGCCGACTAGTACATACATTCGGCCCCGTTGAGCGCCCCACCCGCGCGCAGTATGCAGCGTTAGGACGGTCAGATGTCCCGTAGCGCGGACCATCTCCCGTCAAGTGCCCACTGCCCCGACGTCTGCCCGACCTTCGAGCTGCCAGTACGGCAACCCTGCCAAGGCGTCCACTTCGACATCCACCATTCCTTGTCAAACATCAACCATGGGGCATTTCGTGCATCGTGCTTGACTGGCGCCCAACACCTCGCTTCAGAAACATGTCCTCTTCTCGTCCCATACTATGCCCCGTCCGACCTTCTGGCCGGCCCCCGGCACTCGGGCGGTATCGCGCGCTCTTTGGCCAGGCTCCCAACGTACCCCTGTCCGAGTGCGCATCTCCACCACTGTCGTTTTGGATCGCAACACCCAAGATGCGTCGCATGGGTCTTTACTTGTCAGTCCGGGGACCCATCTGCGTCGATCTTGACTGGCCCCAAATGGTTGAGTTGTGAGCAAAGGAAACCCATGAGTCTAGTTGTGTAAGGATATCCAGGGCAAGGCGGCAGATGTGAGCCATACAGCCCTGGGTGACAGTCATGATATTAAACCCAACCCGGCCTCGCTTCCCAAAACGGTCTTCTGGTCCCGACCTCACCTTACTTCTCTCATCGACCAGACGCCTCTTTCTCTGGCCTCACTAATTCCACGGGATTCGACAAAAGGAAGAAACAATTGCATTGTTTCCCTTTTGCCCTGGAGGCCTGTTATCCCGACCGCCTAATTTCCGTGGTACCCATTGTACGCGCTTGAGGCAGGCAGGCACCTTCCTTTATCCTTTCATTGTTCCTTCCTCCAAACGACATCGACTTGTTCGCTCTTGCCTCGCCTTTCAATATCACAGTCACCGCCGCTCTACTCAACCCGAGATATCACCTTTGGACGTTGACGAATCCGCCCCATGTAGCAGCACAACAAGGCCTCGCTCTATTTTTCTTCTTTCTCCTTCTATTCTTGAATCAGCTGGTACCTGACTGCGCCGGTCGTATTAATCATTAAATCAACTTATTACGTGTCCGCAAACAAATAACTTGGTCCTGTCCAGCGCGCCTGCTCGATCAACCAATATTCACACATCTCAATCGAGCGCCACGTACTTAAGGTAGTCTTAGAGTGTTTTTCAGACCAGCTTCTTGTCTTCACCATCAAAACACACACAAAAGAAGAACACAACAGCAACTACGTCATTCTATTCCCTCTTCGACTCTTCTGGAAGACTCGAACGAAGAAACTACTGAGAAAATCAGCGCGCTCCTTCCTGCTCAGCAGTTAGCGATCCCCACCTGGTTTGTCCACCTCCTTCCTTCCTTCCTTCCAGCTCACAAACGTAAGCCTAACTTCTTTCCCTCTAGAAAGCTCTTACTCTTTTTGAGATATTCTCTTTTCTCTTTTCCCTTCAAACCCATCACCGCAATCTCCTAATTGTTTGGAATCACTTCGCGAACCCACCAAGTTCTTCACCTCTTTTTTGCTCTGCGAGTATCACAAGCTTCATTTCTTCAAAGAATTCCCCTTCACACAAGTCCTCACACCCTTCTCATAACTCTCACAACAATCAACATGGTTCGCCGCAACCTCCTCGCCGTTGCTGTCGCCACCATCTTGGGTGCTTCTCACCTCGCCGAGTCTCACACCTGGGTCGAGCAGCTCAACCGAGTTGCCGCCAACGGAACCCTCGTTGGTTCTGCTGGCTTCCCTGCCGGATGGCCTGGCCGCGCCAGCTCTGCCTTTAACGACGCTACGTTTACTAACCGTATGCCGGGTGATGGCTTTGCCATGTGCAAGCAGGCTGTTGGCAAGCAGGTCGATGGCTTCCCTGCCCTCACCGCTGCTCCTGGCGACTTTGTTTCCCTTCGTTACCAGGAGAACGGCCATGTCACTCTCCCGAACGTCCCGGAGAACAAGCCTCTGAACCGTGGCACTGTCTTCATCTACGGTACCACTCAGCCCAAGGCTGACGACACTCTCTTCGACGTTCATCGCCAGTGGACCACTGACGGCAAGGGAGGTGACGGCCGTGGCCGCCTCTTGGCTACTCGCAACTTCGATGATGGTCAGTGCTACCAGATCAACGGCCAGTCCATCTCTCAGGAGCGCCAGAGCAAGTTCCCTCACGAGGCCGCTCAGCCCATGGGTCGTGATGTCTGGTGCCAGTCGGCTGTTCAGCTGCCCGAGGACTTGGCCCAGAACTCCGACTACACCCTCTACTGGGTCTGGTCTTGGCCTACCCTCGCCCAGTCTGCCGTCGCTGCCTCCAAGAATGGTCAGTTCGCAGACTTCCCCGCCGGCTTCACTGGAGACAAGCGCGCTGTCACCTCGAAGGATGTCACCACCGCCGAGCTCTATACTAGCTGCTCCTCCATCAAGGTCAAGGGTGAGAAGCTAGTCAGTGGCGCCAAGGCTGCCTCGGGCTCCAACAAGGCCGCCAACGCCCTTGCGGGTTTCTCCTTCCTTGAGAAGCCTGACTACAACAACAACGCGATCAAGGACCAGATCGCCAACCAGTTCCAGGTCAGCGTCAAAGGCCAGGGCACCCCCAACAATTCGAACCCCAGCAACGGTACTCAGAGCAGCGCTCCGGTTACCACGACGACTCCCACTGCCCCAGCTAGAGTTGCTGATGGCACCGGCAAGGTTCGTGTCGTCACTGTCACCGCTCCTGCCGTCACTCTCTACGAGATTGTCACTGTCACCGTGGATCCTCAGTCGTCACCCACTCCCTCCAACAACCCCGCTGGTGATGAGGGTGCTACTCAAGCCAGTGTCACTCCCTTCCGCAAGGTCCGTCACGTTCGTGGTAGAGACTCTTGGAGCTTCGGTCAGCGCGACTAAGCTGTTGGGGTTGAGTCACGTAAGCATTGTTAGGGACACACATTCTCAGTGATGTCAATCCCTTGACTCTTCTTGAAAGAGTCAACACACCAAACAACAGCGCAGCTTACCACGACAACCTTGACACTCAACCGTTCTCGCCATGGCACAAAAAATCATTTTCCTTTCATTCATTCATTCACTTCAACAATACCCAGTATTCCCAACCGCTTTGGAGTTTGGACTTTTCGGTCCTTCAGCCATTTGGTACACATGGTTACAGGCATGACATCCTCTTCAGCTTTCCGGCATTCCGGCTACGGAATTGGACAATGGGTCATGAACAGGAGTATAACGGCTTGATTTCGGATTGCGAACATCGCCCCTAAGGGATATGTGGGCAGGGGTTTTCCCTCTTTTCTTGACGACTCGGTATATAAACGGAATGGCATCTTGGGCGGCGTTGGAGGATAAAGGATGATACCAACTTCTTTTTCTGTCACTGCCTCACTCGAGGTTTTTCTTATTTTTCTTTCGGTTTCGGACAGGTTCATCTTCGAGTTTTCAGGTCTCCCACGATGGAATGTGTATGGGAGAGGCCTTCATTTGGCATGGTTCGGGAAGCATATCCCCCATGTCCCTCACACCGCTCTGCTTGTTTCGGTATTTGGCCTTTATGTTTCCCTCCGGGCTGTGCTGCTCGATGCCGCACTTAAGAAACATGAAATGAATTGACGGAAAGGCAACGATGGATGATGAGGCAATGCATTAAATGGTTATGGAACACAGAGGCTATAACACTCGCCTAGAGGGTGGTAGTGCTATGGAAGCCAGTTCACTCACTCCGTTCGCAATCTTATCGTGAAAACGTGATACAACTTATGCAATGTGACCCATCATAACTTCAAATGGACCTTAATATGACTCTGCTTACTTGGTTCTTTGGCAGGCTTGCTTTTGACCGATTTTTCAGCTCCCGTCCAGTCTACGTATCGAGAGTCCTATAAATAGTGTAGACGGTATACCAACTGACCTAGATATGATTTTTGTAGCTCAGAGTATATTATTGTGCGAGAGACATCTCCGCTGAGGCGTCCTCATGTCACAAGACAGGACGATCTCGTCGAAGCTGAAGGTTAACAACTGCTGGGGCAAACCAATAGGGCAGGCAACAGCCCACTCGTGACAACCTGCCGTCAAAAACGAATTCGTCAAAAGGCGACATGTGCCGGAGTTCACCATGAATCCTGCAAGATGAAGGATGTGTTTTATCTTGGGGGTTAGAATACGTACGGCACTGGCCGGAAGCCCTGCCCACCGCGAGCATTCGCGATCGGTGGCCACAACGAACTCGAAAACGCCTTTATGGAATGAGAGATGCTTTTCTTCCTTTTTTTTAACCTTTTGTTCAGATCGGCCTTGACATGTCAAGTTGCGGGAATTTGTCGTGGCGACCCTCTTTCTCTCTCCCTCTCATCGACCGGGGGGCTGCAGATTTGCCTCAGGACTGTTATGCTTCAGGCATGATGAGAGTTTTCGTAAGGCCCTGCTTGAGGAGTCTTTTATGATCCGGATGCGGGATTCAAGAAACAAGGCGATGGGGTCACAGCTTGGGGATTGGTCACGGATGCTCAGCGGAAGCAGCTAGAATACTCGCAAAGTAGGATTGGTCGTAGACTCATGGTTTCTATATGATCGGAAACGAATCCATGTGATTTTGCTGGAAGAAAAATAGAACTCCAGCTTCCAGCTTTCTGCCGTCTCTGACGCAGCTAGACTACCTCGAAACTCCGCGTGAGTGAGCCGCCAAGCGAACAGGAGGTCCTCGGCGGGACGAAGGAGCGGCGCACTCTCCTGGAAGGTTTGTCTCTGCCGCGTGACTTGGACTACGGGGCGAGGTTCGAGTTCAAGGCTCAAAGGAGACATCAGGGGAGCCGGGCGCCTTCAGACTACCGCGTTGTGGCCACGATCTCCAGGCGTCGGAGTATCATCCATGCCGGTACCTCACACATCAACCATCCGTGGGTAAGCAGACGAGCAACCTCACATCTCACCGCACTGCGCAATGACGACGTCCTGGTTCGGCTGGTCCTTGCCGCGGTACCCCGTCTTGGTGGCCTCCATCATCTTGACAACGTCCATGCCGTCGACGACCTTGCCGAAGACGACGTGCTTGTTGTCCAGAAAGGGCGTCGGGACGGTGGTGATGAAGAACTGGGAGCCGTTGGTGTTCGGTCCGGCGTTCTGCAACCGCCAGAGACATATCAGTAGAGCATCTTTACCAAGCCAGCGACACGCCTGACGGGTCAAGTGGAGAGATGGAGGTGAGGGGTTCAGGGGGGACATACGGCCATGGACAGCAGGCCAGGCTGGTCGTGCTTCAAGTTGAAGTTCTCGTCCTCGAACTTGGAGGATCCGTAGATGCAGACGGAGCCGGTACCGTCGCCGTTGAGGAAGTCACCGCCCTGGCACATGAAGCCTTGGATCTGCGAAGCGTCGTGGTCAGCCTTGTCATGTCCTTGTCGGTTCCCCGTCGCAGCCTGTCACGAGATGGAGGCGCAGCTCATGGATAGAGTCACGGGGGTTAGGTAGTGAGACTCACGATACGGTGAAACTTGGAGCCCTTGTAGCCCTGCGGGCGGCCGCGAGCGTCCTTGGACTCGCCGGTGCAGAACTGGCGAAAGTTCTCGGCCGTCTTGGGCACGACATCCTTGAAGAGCTCAAAGGTAACGCGGCCCAAAGGTTCACCTGTGTTTCGGTAAGACGTTAGAAACGGCATCCCGGACGGACGGGCGAGAGCCCCAGTTGCCGGGATGCTCGGAGGGTGGGAAAGTTGGGGGCGGAGGGCGGAGGCGGAGGGCGAGCCAAGAGGTTGAGGGGCGTGCAAGGTCACAAAGTCGGATTGCAGAGCCCTGGTTTCCCCGTCGCCGATGGCAGTGTCTGTGAGGCACCATCTTCGACGATGCCCCCGTCTCGCGTGCTCCGTGACGAGCCAGCCCAGTCTGTAGGCCGGAACCTTGATGCAGAGCCGGCGCTCTCGGCGTGTGCACACGTGCACAACGCCTGCGAATGGCTTCAAAGATCCCAAGACTTGCTTTTCAGACCCATCCGTGGCCAAGACGAGGAACGCTTCCACCCTTGATTCCTTTCTCATTCATTCCCCCGCAGCACCCGGGCAAGAGAGGTGGACGGATAGAGGCGATGCCCCAATAAGGAAAGGCGTGTACATACCGCCAAGGGTGATATCAAAAAAGACCCTATTGACGCGATAGCGTTAGCCCTAGCTCATGGAGAGGTCACGGCTCGGGGTGATGGAGATCCCGTTTCCCATTTACCCCCCCGCGCAAAGAGGGTGTGGACGCGTGAGCTCAGCCACCGCCGGCGGTTCGTCAAACCCATGCCCTTGGGCGTCGATGAGAGGACAGGACGGTTCGGTGAGATAAGAGAGACCCAGGGCGGCGGAGCTCGATGCAGGCCAAGGATTGCGACCGGAGTTCAAATCCGTGCCACCGGAGTCAAAAGGGACATTTGCAGGATGGCTGTCATCAGACTTACAGCGGGTTGCCGGATTCCGGGAGCTTCGTGGGAGGCATGGCTGCGTTTGCGGTGGTATCCGTGTCGCTCGTGTGGGAACGGGAGGGGAGTTGGGAAAGTGCTTCGTTCCGTAGGCGCCGGGGGCTGCGCTGTTTTCGGGAAGCCGATGGGAAGAAAAAGGTGGTTCAGAACTCTAGAAACTTGCGGTAGGGGAAGACACTGGACGCATGCTGGGGATTCGCTGTAGAAGGAAGAAAAAAACACAAACGGACGCACGCTGGTGGGGCTGCGAATGAGGGGACGTGGACTGTGGTCGGGACCTGAGCCGAGTTGTCGGAACCGGGCAGAATGTGTGGGGACGCCGACGTCCTTCAGCTAGCCCGGGTGAGCTGAACTGTCAGCGCGATGCAGCCGTCGTGCGGAGGGACCTACCTCTTTGGGCCCCTTTGCCATTAGACGTCTTTTCAAATGCCTCAATGCAGGGCACTGCAGGCCACACCAAGCCGAGAGGGGCTTGTGTTGTTTTTTCTGCATTTACGCGTATCGGGCAGGCCGCCCGTTTACTTCCAAATACCTGTAAGACGGCCAATAGCTCTGTGGGCCGCAGCCTGAATTCCATTGAATCAACCACAGAGCCTGATCCAGGCCTCATGGTTAAACCGTTGTGGAATGTGTTTATGTACACATGCAGAGAAAACAGTACTCTCACAAACCAGGTAACGGGACCCAGCCATGTCGTTGTTCATTGCATTCCTAAGGTCACTCACGCTAGGACAGCAAACAGCAATTTTCAACCTGGTTGGTATAGATGCTCATCTCATCCAAACACTGTTATGTCATGTCTAAGTGACTGCATCAGAGCCCTGGGATCACAGTGACACTTTCTGGATGACTGTAGATCTTGCCGTCCTTCTCCATAGAGAAAGCCGGTTTAGGTGAGTCGGTGCCATTGTGACCAGTCAAGGTTCTCGACATCTCTTTCGAAGTTTCCACCGCAATCTCGATGCTTCTGCCGCAAAGGCAGAGGGCTCGTGACACCTCTCAGCTTCGTCATGTAAACGCCCCAATGCTTCATGATATAAGTTCCCAGCATCCGCCACAGACCAATCCAGCCCAACGAATTCGGATTCCCTTCCTGGTTAACCCGTCAGTATACCCAGGCATACTGGTTATTAAACCTCTTGATGGTGATGATGATGATGGAGTTGGTCGGTCCGGGCTCAGGCGCCTGAGGAAGTCCCAGCGCGTTCTGTCTGCTCAGGACTATTTTGGTATCGTGCAGAATGTATCCCCTCCTCACACTTCTGCTCGGCGACAAGAGTCTGCATCGCATCGTAGAAGACGGCGCGCTGCTAGGCCTGGGTTGCCGGAGGCGAGGAACAATATTATACCATTCTATCTAACTAGTTTGGTATCTTTGACGAAGACAAATAGTACCAGGAACAAGACGACACCGGTGAACCTCCTCGAAATGATTGTTGAGTACAGGTTTCAGGAGATCAAGTTCCATGCCATGTTTGGTTTCTATTATTATTGCAGTAAAAAAAAAGGGAATGGTGAACCTCTCTGTATGGGTTAATGCCGGAACCAAATCTCTTATGCATTTCGAAACTTGCAGAGACTGATCACCCTATGGCCGCAGCTCGAGCTAGGAGAGCCCTATTCGTTTGGACTCGTCACTTGCCTGTGTCTAAATTAGCGAGAACAAAATCTGTTCACGCAAGTACGGCATTTTGCCATCTGCTCGAGGATGATATCCTTTCAGTCCATACTCATAGGGGTCTGGACGACAAATAGAGTTATCGTGAAGGTATCCCCAGCACAACGCAGGAGGACCATCTCGTCGACAAGAGCATGAGGACCCACCAACCTCGGTACTCCCGTCCTTGCCACCTGCTGGCCCGAGGCCATGTTCCACGGTCTCCTCGGAGTCCGGTCCGTGGAAAAGTGGAGTTCGATGGTCGACTGCCGGGGATCCTAGTGTCCGGCGGGAGATGAGTGACAAGTTGTAGAACCCAGGCAGCAATCAAACGGAACTCTGGAAGTGCCGCCGAATGCATTTCATGAACTGCGAAGAGAGGCACTAACTTTAGGAACAATCAAGCTTGTCGAGCGGGCACGTGTGTTTATTTCGCTGAAGTATCGTGGAAATTCGTGGCCGACGGACTAACGAACCTTCGCACCCGAAGAGTTCGATCTCGGATCGATTTCGAAGGATGCATCAAGTCAAGCCCATGGAACGTCATTTTGTATAGACAGTCATTTTGGTCCAGTTGCGAAAGCCCGGATGGTATACGACCTGGACACCGAGCAAAAAATACTAGCTCTACAATACCGGCCTGTCCACTCGCGCGTGTAGCCATTGTTCGTTGTCGGAAGCTAACGCTTGACGTCGTCTTCATGTGTGTGGTCCATCTTTGCAACGTATCAGAATGATTCAATCACAGCCAAAAGCTAAGATGAACTTCTCGGCCCTCACCCCAGCACCTGGCATCATCCTCGCCATCGTCATTCCATCAAATTTCCTTTACTCCAACTAACACCCTTCAGTCCCCTTGCTGCCCGCCTCGCCAGGAGCACCACTCCAACTCGCCCGAGTCTTTTCCAAAGTCACTCAAAAACTCTACGTGGGCTGCATCTGCACGCAATACGCCCTCAAACACGCCGCTCTGGCCTTCGTGCCCCCCAGTAATAACTTTGTCGATCCTCCACACGGCCTTGGAAGGGGGGAGGGTCATTGGGTTCATTCACTCGAAGATTGGACCATGCAAAAGTAGAAAAAGCCAACCCGCTATCGAAGGGTCCTGCAGCCTTGACCGCTGGAGATGTGGTCGAGTCGGTCGTTCCCCAGGAAACGCGGGGTATATTATAGGCTGTGTTGCGGAAAAGGTTAGCTGTATTGCCAACACCCTAAAGCACACACTGGAATGGTCAGGATTTCGGAAGGGCCGTCTCCCGTTCGGCGGTTGTCCGTGCCGGGGCCGGGGGGTCGCCGAAGGTAGAGAGTGTGCTGTCCACCTGGGAAGGCGGCGTCCTGACCACGCCCCGACAACGCCCCCCGTCGCCGGAGGTTCCAGCCCAGGCCACTCGCACCGCTTGACTCGGGCGAGATGCCACGAGTAAGGTCATCGCAGCAAGGGGCAGTCCCGCGGACAGATAGGTACAGATGCAAAACATAAAAAATGTCGTGTTAAGCTTCTTCAGTTTAACAGCAAGAAAGCTTGGTGGCCGCAGTTGAAACGATGGATCAGCCACACACACACTAGCGTAAGCCTCTGAAGAGCGCGGCGAGCCCAAAAGAAAAGGCTAACCAAATTAACGTCGAGTTCGTCTTTCAATTCCAGGGAACCCCCTTTCCAGATATCATCTAGGCATGAGAGCGGAATATCGCGCAAGTGCCCCCCGGTGCCCCCTTCTCGCTGTCAGTTGAAGCGAGGGAGACCGAGGCGGACAATGCTCCGCACGCGGTCTCGCGTTGCTGCTGCATGTGAGCCCCCATAGCGCGGTTTCCTTACCTTACCACATTGCCCTCCTGCTTCTCCCCAGAGACCGTCCCAGGCGGAAAAGACGCAGAGGGCCCCGCGGATTCTGCTGCAAGCTGGGTACCAGGTCCGGTGTGGAAGTGAGGAGATGCCCAGGGTCCAAATGCAGAGGCCGCGTCACGATATTCGGGGTTACTTCCTTGTCGCATGCCCAGCCTCTCTTGGCCCGAGGCTGGGGGGCTTGGGGGCTTTCGTGTTTGCTCACGATCTACCCCTCCCCACTGCCAACAGTAGTATCCATCGCACACATTCCACACGGAATCCTGCCTGGTGACCTTCAAAGGCTTGGAACCCCTTCAGAGTTTGTTGCAATATTGAGAATCTAGAGGAAAGAAAAAAGGGGGTCCTATGACAGCATCGATTATGTTGACGGGCGACGCGGGGCAAAACGTCTGGCTGACCGGGTTTAGCACTTGGACCTCCGCCGGCGTTTCTCATGCTGCCGTGGCATCGTGTCGCCGTTATCGCAGTGGGCTAGGATGTTTGTACATAGTACTACCTACCTATAGTAGCCGAACAAAGTCCAGGCCGTCCCCCGGATGGCGCGGCGTTGAGGATCGACAGCACCAGGCAAGGTTGGTGAATGGTAGAGCCAAGCGCGATTGACAGAGAGCCATGTTGGTTCCATACAATGATCTCATCCACTTCTGTGAACGGACCAATGGACGCTGGCCCAGTGGAACGCGTCCACATCGCTTCGTGC